TGTGTCTATCTTATTTGTTAAGGTTAGAGGGGTATCTAACACTGATGTAATATATCGGATCTGATATCGCTAGCTTTTTTTCCTTTTGAAGGAGAAAATCCTAAGAATACTTCCTTCTTTACGTGCTGTCAAACATTATTCCAAAGTATTTAGTAGATTTTATTTCTGTAACAAAGTTTTCTTTAACATGATTAGCCAATGTACTTATAAACGTTTTGAATTTTTGGTAAAAGATATGAGATTGAGACTTTAGATTTAGAAGTACATATTCTTCTTTAAGTTTAAGGTAACTAAAAAAAGTTCTTTCAAAACTGGGTCATATTTTGATAATAATTCCACCATTTCCAGAAAGTTTCCTCTATTTAAAGTGTTGGATAACCAACCGCCTATTGACATTGAGTCACCAAGTCACTCTTAAGATTAACCCCGTAACGCTGAAAAACAAGTTACTCATCGATCGCTGTCTGTCCCCTCAAAGTCCTGTCCAGCAATTTGTCACCAGAACCAAGTTCACCTTCTCCCCCAAATCCCTTCCTTATAAGTACACCCAAAAAATTCCTTACGCGATCATTATAGAAACCAAGCGAATATAGTTAAGAGCTGTCGATCTAGTACACAGCAGAAAATCACAACGCTTCTTCCCTTTGTGAAGTTCGCGCCTTGTAAATTCGGTGTCCGTGAGTATAAGTGTCATCGTTAAAATAAAAGTTATATTGTTAAAATATAATCGATATCAACTTTCCTCCCCGGATTCCAACAATCAGAAGTACACAATCGACAACAAAAACAGTATAAATGTTCGCTGTTAAGGGAGTACAGCATCCATGAGCGCAGAATTTTTTTTAGAATTATTAAAAATAATAAAAAAATAATTTTATTCTACTAAACTTTTGTACACGGAAGTCTTACAAGTTTTAAGGCAATTAGACTATAGCTTTCAGATCCGTATTGTAGCAATTTTTTTACGTGTCCCCCTTAGGAGCTTAGACGTCAATACATTATAATTCTCTACGTGTCGTTAAAGAAAGTTTTGAGGTCTGATTTTAGAAGTAGTGGGAGTGGGGAAAGGTCCAATGGGCATTCTTGGATATTGTTAGGAGTTGATGAGTAAGAGTGTGACTCGGGGTTGATATTGTCGTCGAGGGAACTCCGGGGATCGTTTAAGGTACTTTATTTATAACAATGTTGGTACAGAGTGACGCAGTGTGGTTCCTTAGATTTTAAAACATTAGCTAAGCCTCCCTTGTTTGGGCCCAGTATTTATATGGGGCTCTACTGGAGGGGATGGATGCTGTGGAATGTGCGTGGGGTAGGGAAATTTAGGAAGAGGACCCGGAAAATTGCGGTACCGGGAAAAGCCATCTTGGCGTCGGTCTGAAATGCGTGGAAGGTGTCCTAATGGATCGGGCGAATTTTTAAGAAGATGTATATCATAGGACATAGGAAACCCATTCGCATACCACAGGTTGGGTGGCGCCTACCGGGACAACATGACTCAGGGTTGATGCGTAACTGTCTGCGGAAGATGGAAGGGAATATTGGGATTGGTTATCTTAAACTAAGTGGTAAAGACAAACATACTGTCCGACAAACCTAAAGTGAAGCCTCTGACGTCACAGCCTAGCAAAATGGAGGCAAAATAGGCGGTTCAAGTCATCCCCACTACTCTTGGGTCTTACACTGCAGGCGCTTGAGGGGAAGTTGCGTTGTAGGTAAATGGTTTAGACAAACGAATTTAAGTCAACTGTCGATAATGTAACACGCTAATGAAAGAACGGAAAACTAAAAATTATTTGGTCGCCTTGTCCTCTTACTTACGTTGGCGCGTAAGACATTTAATAGCGCAGACGTTAATTTCTAAGCGACTCATACACAATAAATTGTTATTGTAAAGGAAGCCTCAGGAAAAGTATTAATATTTTTTAACAGTTAGAAAACTAAAAAGGAAATATTTTTTTGCTATTCCTGAATAATAAAAGTAGACTTCGGCGCATTAAAAAATTACTTAAGGAGCTAAAAAATTTCTGGCTGCAATGAAAAATAGCGTGCCACCACAGACCGACAGCCACTTTTTACAGCCAATAAAAGCCATCAAACAGCCACTATTTAATGTTAAAATTTTGAACAATTTGACAAAATCAGACGAAATGTCATCACTTTAACCGTAATATTTCGGCTTTGTTTAAAGATAATATTTCGACCTTAGGCTCATTTCATAGCAATAAACATAGCAATAATCGCTGCTAAAGTTTCAATTGCTAATTTGACACTATTCCCACTCACAGAATAATTTTGAAAAAATACCATTGGATTGCTTGAATTTTAACCTGTAAAATAAGCTTATCGAAATAATAGACAAATTTTGGTAACATGGACTGAAAAAAATAAAGTTTACCATGACTCACGTCGTTTGGCGTCGCGCAGGCATTTGTTCGCCTATTTATGTAAATATCATTCTTTCAATCTTCCAAAGTCTCTCTTGGAGTGGAGAGGCGAGGTAGTGTGGGATTCTAAACTGCATATAATGACCATCTAATGAATAAAATATATCGATTCTATGAGCAAAATCTTTTAGTGGGTAAGAATCCCATACTACCTCGCCTCTCCACTCCAGGAGAGACTTTGGAAGATTTCCCTCATGGTAAAAAAAAAAAAAGGATATGACCAAATTAAGTGTATTGACTTACTTAATACATGTGAAAGTATTTGGAACTGCATATAATGACCATTTAATGAATAAAGTATGTCGATTATACGAATATGCCAGTCTACGTTCGAACGGTTAGGAGATATCGGTTTATAATTTTTTTAAAA